CCTTCTAGTTATGATACCAGAAACTGCCAAGTCTGAAAACAAAGGTGCATATATCCATATAGACATAAACCAAGAGACACAGAGACCTTACCTTCTCCCAGCTGTGGCCAGCAGCCCCGTGCCTTCAAATAAATCCCATTCCCTGGTGTTCGGAATCCTCCTCTGCTCACCCCAGATGGTTCCAGTGAGTGAAATGTGCTCTGGAGATCCCATTAGAATGTTAAAAAAAGCCCAGAGAAACCTGGGATTTGTATGACCAACCTGCATGAGGAGCTCTAAACATCACTTAGCATTCCGCTATTCTAAAGAATACCCCCCTCCATTTTTACCAGTGGATCTCCTCCAGCCTCCCCGCAAGGGGAGACAGCCAAAGCCCTGCTGCAGACAGCAGTTGTCAAGACAGTCTCTGATTTAAATAGGGGCTGGGTCATTTAATGCTTTACAGATGGTAAACAGCACATTACATGTCACCCGGAGATAAGCTGGCAGATGCTGCAGATGACGGGCTGGCAGCAGCGGGCAGGCTGCCATCGTGCTCTGCTCCATGCACCCTCTGGAGTCAGCACCCAGAAAGCACCCAACCCGCTGCCCCTGGGGACCAATCCATGGATCCCAGCTCTCCATCACCTGGATGACCTTAAGGTCCTTATGATCTTCACAGTCATCCTGTTATCGACTGAGTGCACTGTTCATCTGGCCAGCCTGCCAACACCAGCTCTTCCTAAACGCTGCTCAAGGGTCTCTATGCATAAAGCAGAATCATAGAACAGGCAGGGTTGGCAAGGACCATCCTGAAAAACAGGGAGCAAAGGGATGATAAATGTCCTGATCTGCTCCACCACTAAAAACTTGTGCTCAGCTTCATCCTATTTAGTACTTTATCCTATTTAATACTTTATGGGTTCTCTCGCCTTCCCCCAAACCCCACTTGTTTTATGGTTCTTATGCTGAATCCGTGTTTGAAATGACAACTCTGAAACACTTGACTCAGTGCTTTCTGTAACTAACTAAAGAACAGGAGTAGATGGAGAGGTTTGATGGAGCAAATACAGCATCAGCACAATAGCGGGTGTCAGCCTGTGAGAGGGGTTTGTGGGGAAGGGAAGAGCACAGAGCATTCAGAGCAGAGACAGTTTGCTGATCGCTCCCCCCCAGGATGACTGTGCAGTTACAGCTGAGAGTTATTCATCAGTATTAAAAATGATCATGGCAAAAGAAAGAGAGAAATAAAGGCAATGTCATAATGCACATCAGCACCTTCTGTCAGGCTGGGTACTGAGCCGCCTCCGCGAGGGAATCATGGTGTAATCGTGACATGCTCTATGCAATCAACCCATGAGTGTGCCTGGAGTGTGCCACTGTTGGACATTCACTTTAAAGCGTTTCTGTGCTTTTTGCCCCGAGGATATGAAGGGTTCTCTGCCTTTGGGCCCCTCTTTCACTTGGTGGTGCTCTGCTGAAGTGCAGTGCAATGAGTGCTGCTGGTCAGTGCCTTAGGGCAAAGCTCCCCCTTTCTTTAGAATAGAATATTTCCAGTTAGAAGGGCTCTATAATGACCATCCAGTCCAATCCTTTGCATGGGATTTCTTTAGAAATGAAATCTTCTGGTTTAAAGGAAAAAGGCACAATTACAACCCAACAAAAAAAGGGGTTGCAGATGCAGAGATGCCCTCAAATATCTGCTCTTTCCATCCCTCCTGAGACAGTCTTTGAGGAACAGGACACTGAGAGCACTCTGTCCAGCTCACAAACCACCTTTGTCCAATTCCATCACTGTGGTGCAGTTTGGGTGCTCACCGTGGTACAAGCGGAGTCAGTTTCCAACGCAACCTCCATCTGTCGTGAGGGCAACCAAGGTCCATGGACACAACTCACTGTCACACACCAAAGGTCTCCCATGCAGAACCACAGACATCTCTGGACTCGTGCCTCCCCATTGCAGGGCCTTCTTCTCCCACTGAAGATGATTCCCACAAACCCTTTGGGCTGTGCCTGGAAACCACTCTTCCAAAACCATGCTGGGAATGGACACGCACTGTTTCCTCCTGCTCCATGAGCACGGTGCCCTGCTCTTGTAGTGGAGCCTGGCACAGGCTTTGTTTTGGAAAGAGAAAGCTCCCTTGAACCCTCTCCAGCAGCAGGAACTGGGAGACAGAGCAGCGCTGGGGTCACCCAAGGGAAAGAGCGCCTTATCCCAAGCCCTTGTTCAAGGCATGCAAGCTATTTGCAGCCTCTTGCAGTTGATCTCCAAATATAGGCCCTGATTCAGCGAGACACTACAACACATGCCTGCCCTCAAGTACACAAACTGTCCCATTATGGTCCATGGTGTAAGGTGAAGCTCGTGACTGCCTGACGGCCAAGCGATGCCAGCCCTGCTTCTGCTTTCCTTTCTGATAGGGAAAACTCAGGGAGGAAAAGAACTGTGCAGAAAAGGGATGGAGCTGATCCAGGATTTTTGCAAACAGCCCTATTGGAATGCTCCATCACTGCTCAACGTCCACTGTGGGGAATTACCCTTCCAGGGCCTTGCTCCCCAAACTGGCTCCCAACACAAGAGGGATGTGGAGCTGCTTGAGTAAGTCCAGAGGAGGCCAAAAGATGAACAGAGAGGCTGAGAGAGCTGGGCTGGGGCAGCCTGGAGAAGAGAAGGCTCCTGAAGGGGAGACCTGAGAGCAGCTCCAGTGCCTAAAGGGGCTGCAGGAAACCTGGAGAGGGGCTTGGGATAAGGGCCTGTAGGGACAGGCCAAGGGGAATGGCTTGAACCTGCCCGAGGGGAGACTGAGCTGAGCTCTTAGGCAGAAGCTCTTCCCTGTGAGGGTGCTGAGGCGCTGGCACAGGGTGCCCAGAGAAGCTGTGGCTGCCCCATCCCTGGCAGTGTTCAAGGCCAGGTTGGACACAGGGGCTTGGAGCAAGCTGCTCTAGTGGGAGGGGTCCCTGCCCGTGGCAGGGGTTGGAACTGGGTGAGCTTTAAGGTCCCTTCCAACATAAACCAGTCTGGGATCCTACGATAAGATTGTGCAGCAAGAAGAGATGGGGGTGATATGCTTGAAATGAATTCAGCATTAAAAAAGCTTTAGAAAGGATTAGGTTAAGCTCAGAAAAAAAAAACACTTTCAGTTTATTCAGCGGCTTCTTCGGGTTTTCCTTCGAAGTACAGAGAGCTGGTAACAGATCCCTGTTTGTAAGGTCAAGGGGCTGGTCCAGTGCAAAGCCACCAGCAAGGAGGCACTGGAGGGCTGCAGAAGGGATGGGCACTCACTTGCACAGGGTGGATGGAGCTCAGGCTGTAGAGCTGCCATGGGCGTTGGGCTGTGGGAGTAATCACAATGAACATACATTGACCTGAAGCCAAAAGGAATTCTGCATCTCGACAGCAAGTTGCACAAGTGAGATCATTCTGCCTTCATTTGCATGTACTTAATTAAAACAGCTCCAGAGGGCTGCTGCTCTGCTGCTTCACAGCCACTGCACTCTGCTGGGGATTAAACCCTCCCCATTTCCATGGCCTCACTTCACAACAGAGAGAAACCCTCATTCTCACTGCTGCAACCCCATCACCCTTTGCATTAACACTGAAAATGGAAAGCCTGACATATATTTTATGCATTACAATACATTGCACGGGCCTGCCCAGTTTAAGGCCTCATAAAGACACAGATTTTAAGTTCTTCAAAGCAAGAACCAGTCAAACAAAACACGGGTGAAGGGACAGTAAAGCAGGGCACTGGTGGAGGGAAGGAGAGCGCTTGTCCTGCAGATGCATTCAGCATGCCTTCATAGTGCCCTTAAATCAAACCCAGCCACGAAATGGGAAACCAAAATCAAACCAGTTGTACCTAATGACAAAGACATGAATGATAAAAGAGAGAAAATAACATTCAAGCCAAGCAGAAAAGCCATGTGCTATGAAATGATGGTTACAAGGGGTTCGATATGGACCTATTTCTCTTGGTGAGGAAGGACATCTCAGGTGTGATTCCCAAGGGATGAATCGAGCTACGGAGGAGTTTCTAGGACAACCAGATAAGGGAATCACTTGGCTTTCCATGTGATGTTGGTATTACCAACATGGATTGCCATTGATACGGGTTGTAACCTGCACTGGCTTAAGCTGAAGATCACAGCAATCCTACTGCTCTGCCTCCTCCGCTCTGGTTGCTCCGGTGTTACAAAGGGTCTTACTCCACAATTTGGTCTGGCACAGGGAGCTCCTGGCGTGTGGAAATCATCAGTTCAAAGGGGACAACCCCACCGGGGGTTAATTCAACACAGGGTTGTTTTCAGATAACCCTTCTCACACCACTGAAGGCCAAGGCTGTTGTTTTAAACCTCACTAAATCAATTGCCTTCCTTTGGAATGCCAGCACAGAAGTAATGGCAGAGATAAGCACTGTCCTCATCGACTGCACGAAAGCACCTGCACACGGAAGAGAAATGGTCTCTTGCTCTTGATATTATTTTAGTGCTTTACCTGCTTTGAATTGCAAGTGATAGATGAACTGAGGAGTTCCCTGGCTCCTCCGCTGCATGGGGAAGCAGCTCAGCATGAACTACCAAAGGTACACAGTGATTTTGCACAGCAGTGCTCACACAATCACTGCAGAAGCATCTGTGCCCTTTCCTACACCACAAACACCAGCATTTCCAATGCTTTCACCACCCATTTACACAAACTTTAACAAACTAAAAGCCTTTAGGGCTTTAGACCCCCAAACCGAACTATAGTTAACACCAACCACCAGTTATCCTCAGATCTGACCTGTTTAAGAAGCAATTGCTGGAGAGATAAATGTGCATCTTCTCTAAGCATACTCATCACATTGAGTATGAGATGCTCAGACAACCTCACAGTGATGTACCACACGCTGGAGGAGTAAATTCTAACCTCTCTATAGGTTTACTTAAGACAAAAACTAGCCTAATAGAGCAAGCAATGCCTTCAGGGCTGCTTTTCAACCCACACATCTCACTGCTCAGACTAGAAAGTTACAGCCACATTTAAGTGATACGATTCTGTTTAATAAACTTTTTTTCCATGAGATTGAGGAAGAACATTTTATTTGAGGCTCCATTCCTGGCTAAAATTAGCAGTTCCATATTGGTCCTACAGACCACCAGTGATCCCTGCTCACAGCTTTGGGATGGCAGCTATAGCAGCCTCTCGCTCCTGAAGAACGTGTTAGAAATCACAGACTGGCACGACAGAATTTGTTGGAGCAATCCCTGTGGTGGAAATGTGCCTTGTGAAGGGAAAACCCTTCCCAGAACTCATTTTCCTCCTTTGGAAACAACCGCTTGCCTAAAGAAAGACGCTGAGCAGCAAAATAACTCTGGTAAAAGTTATTAATACTGCTTAGAAGGGAAGAATCTCAAAACGTGTGTGTGTGTAATCTATTACTGACCTGTCTCTTGATGATTATCAGGTTTTTCCTTCCTAACATCTTCTCCAATAAAGGCAGAGGGGGTAAATGTATGGTACACAAATGCACATGAGGGAAATGAGCAGCTCTTCTCTTTGGTAACAGGTGAATATGCAAAGCCCTGGTGCCCCATGGGGACTCTGGAGAGCTAATGAATGCAAAACCCCACAGTGACCTGCAAGTGCTGCAGAAGCAGAATGTTTCCCAGCCTTGGTGGCCTTGAGCTCCTTCTGCACAGCTCTATCAGCATTCTGTCCATCATAAAGGCTGAAAAAGGCAGCAAGGTGTTTTCTTTTCACTGAACGATGCTTAGGGAAAGACAAGGAGTTGCAAGTTAAGATCTTGTTTAAATGTGAAAGAGGAAAGACCTTCCTCCCTAGATTTCCACTGGCACGCAGCCTGCTGCAATGTTTAATCCTGACCCAGCCACACTAGTAAATGCTGATGGGTGTCCCTGCCCGTTGGCAGGGGGTTGGGAACTGGATGAGCTCTAAGGTTCCTTCCAGCACAAACCATTCTAGGACCCTGTGATTCTTCCATGATTTGGCAGATCTGCTTTAACACCCATCCTCATTTGCAGAACCTCCCCTGGGAAGTCGATCCTGAAATTCCCCCAAGAAGGCTGAGCTCCTAACACACACTTTACCAGGCCTGAAGCAGCTGGTGAGCTCTCCCAAACCTCTGCTCTCTCTGCCTTCCAAGCCTGCGGAGCACAGGATTTGCTCCTGGAGAAGTGGGCGAGCCCGCACCAACCGTGGCAAAACCCTGCAGGGACCTGTGAGATGAGGTGTGAAATGTGAAACAGGCAAGAGCTTTGCAGCTGACAAAGGCAGAATTGAGCAGCAGGATACTCGTGCCACTGCTCTGAGCACAGGCCAGGACAGGCAGCCAAGTATTAGTGATTTACTAATGAAACTCTAAATAAGCTTCTGTTATGTTCCTAAATGTGTAAGCTATAGAAAGGAGCAGTATAAAGGTGTATGTGCATGCTAATATGCACAAGTATATATGATAAAGAAATGTTGCTGAACAAGCCCAGCTCTCTCAGCCTGGCTCCAGAGCAGAGCTGTTCCATCCCTCCCAGCATCTCCATGGCCTCCTCTGGACTCAGATGCTGCTGTCAATTTGATCCAAGGTAACATTGCTTTCTCTAAACATGAGCTACTGCTGTAACGATCAAAGGTTTTAAGTTGAAATAAAAGGAGCCAAACGACAGAATGAAGTGTGCTGATCTCAGTTACCTTAGGCATGGTCTGAAGCATCTTTCCACTTTAGAGGAAATCTAATCACTCTTCTCATATCCTATACTGCTGCAACACAAAACAGCAACAGCTTCCATTCAAACTTTAACTGAGGTCAGGTCAGAGCCAGTGAACTGTTCCTGAGTAGTCAGTTGACGCTAGACAAGAACTCAAAACCTGCATAGTCACAAATATGCCAGCATTAAAGATGCTCACACTTCTTTCTGCCGACATGCACCATTCCATAAGCAAACAGAGGACTTGGAGACTCCCCCAGTGTCAATCCTCATTTCAGAAATATTTGGTGATGCTTTCTCTTGTAAGCATATGGGATAGTTCTAACTGATTGAGAGGTTCCATATGGTACATTCCTCTTGTAGCTATAAACAATTAGGAAGGGGGATCAAAATAAATTTGGAAATAAAGGAAACAGCAATTCTAGGTTTCTTACAACAATAAACCAGAAAATATTTCCTTGTACCAGAGAAACTACAGGATTTTGAACTGAAAGGCCCAGAAGCCAGTTTTGAATAGCTTTTCTTCAATGTTCCATCCCTGACAGTGTCCAAGGCCAGGCTGGACAGAGCCTTCAGCAACATGGTCTACAGTGAGGTGTCCCTGACCATGGCAGAGGGTTGGAATTGGATGATCTTAAGGTACTTTCCAACCCAAACCAGCCTGTGGTTCTATGCTGCCTACCTTTTGGTGATGGACATGGCTACAGGCCTGGTTGCTGGGTTCTGTGCTTCTGAGAATCACCAAAAGAAACTCTCCCATCAGTGAGATGTGGAAACCTGGCACCTCCTGGGTATGAAGCTCCGGTTTTCTTCATGGCTCAAGCTGCTCCCTGTTGCCTTCAGATGGATCACAACTTAACACTGTCATAAAAACAGGACTGTAATGAAAGCTGCAGAGTCTGGTCACATGTATTTTTACCAGATTATCTGAATGTTTAAAACATTAAATAAAAGCATGTCCTTGGCTCTTATGAGTAAACAGTTAAGAGTGAATGGAATTACTCTAACAATACTCCACACCTGCAGATGGTGTCTCAGTGCTGGCACAATTACATATTAATTTCACCTCCCATCACGTATATGCTGTTGGTAAATCCAAGTAGAACTTGAGACTAAAGAACTTGAAGTTCTTTACTGTGAGGGTTCTGAGACACTGGAACAGGCTGCCCAGAGAAGTGGCAAATGCTCCATCCCTGGTAGTGTTCAAGGCCAGGCTGAACAGAGCCTTGGGCAACACTGTCTAGTGTGAGGTGTCCCTGCCCATCGGGGGTTGGAACTAGATGATGTTAAGGTCCTTTCCAACCCAAACTGTTCTAGGATTCTAATACATTTTTGTTATTAAAAGCTTCAGAACTTAAGAATCTTTGTATCAACATGATCACTCATGGCAGCAATGTAATACGCACGGTGTAGCGCTGCCCTCTCCCCCTTCCATCAAATCCCCGTCTGTGCTCTCCTCCCAAACCATCCATTTTGAGCTGTGCTCCAGCACGGAACCTGACCAAGAGTAACATATAAGTTACAGGATTAAATAAGATTTTATTGTCACATTGAACTGCTTTGTCAGAGATGTACATTTTGCAGGTTTCTGTGCGGAATAAAACTCAAGAGACGGCAGTTGCCATCTTGTCAATCTTGATTTCAACACACACACACGGACACCACCTGGACCACGGGCGCCAGCACAGGGCCAGTGGTAAGAGCAGAGCAAGTTCTCTGTTCAATGGATTGCAACGCTCCAACAGAAAATGCATCAAGTTAAGGCTAATGAGAATAATGTCAAAGAGTTAAACCAGCCCACGAGATGTTTAAAGGTGGAAGCACTCAAGAGAAGAGTGGCAACTCTAACACCTCGGGTTTTCCATCTGCTTGATTTAGTATAGGTAAGGAGAGGCTAACGAACAGACTTGTGTCTACATATACAATCCATACTGACATTGTAGTCTTTTGTAAATCCAATGTATTGCAACTGCTTTGTTGTTCTGGGTGCAAACCAAAGAAGTGGTTATTCACCCCCCGCCCCAAGCAGTAAATGCTTACATGACCTCATCTTAAAATGTGTGGTTTCCCATTGACAGATCAGGGATAGAGTCCAATAATACAAACATCTCAGTGGCACAATTTCACATGTTTTGGGCAATGTTAGCATACAAGCAGTACTTAAATAAAAGTAAGTGCATCCAAACATGAAAGTCTCTAAATATACCACACTTCATTTATCCCAATTTTCTGATAAGAGCTGTAATTCCAATTAAAATAGTCATTTACGTGTTCCACCCAAAGGAAGAGAGGTAATAAACCCAGGGGACTCTCCAACCAACCATCTCCTACCCTATCTCCTACGTATTACATGAAATAACTCATCTAGGAGCGTAAAACCAATACTCAGATGCAAATAAAATGCGAGAAGCAGTCTCTGATGTTTGTAATTTGCAGACTCCAAAGTCCACTCCTGATGGAATTAGCTACTTCTCTCAGTCATTTACTCCTGTATGTGCACTCGGTGTTGATGCTAATGTAACAAATGAGACAAGAAATGAGGCTTAGTGTGGCATAAAGTCACTGTAAACCCAGCGGAACCAGAGGAATTCTATTCATGACATTCATTTGGATGATTTACCAGTGGTCCCACCCCCCCAAAGAACCACCCTTTACAGGAAAAAAGGCAACCATCAGTTGAAGTGAGACACACATTCTGCTAGTAAAAAAAGTGGAAACAAACCCCTTCTCTGTTCAAAGAGCATGCCAATAAAAGAAGGTCGACCACAGCTCCTCCCATCAGGCTTCTCAGGATTATCAAAACTTCTTTGCTTGCAAAGGCCAATTTGGCTTACCATAGAAAGCTATTCTGAAGGCGGCTGATACATGTATTCCCTTTCCAAACTGAAAATTCAAGGCATGATAGTGCAAGAGGTAAGTTTTGATTTGAGAACATTATTTGTAGACTAACTGTGCTTAGTTACTACATCCCAATTTATCGTCTTAAAGAAAATACGGCAACAAAAGCTACAAGATCTCTATAAATCTCATCATTTGCCTAAATTTACCAGTACATCCATGAAGCTCATCAGTATTAGTACAACTTGATTATCCTAATGATTCCATTACAAAACTTGCAAAATGTATCACAAGGTGAATAAACCCTCTAGTGCAAGTCTTCTACATGTTGTGTGCACAGTTAAATCCTGTGTAGTTCATTTCCTCCGGGTTAAATCCCCAAAATCTGTCGGTAACAACTGTGAAAAAACAGTGTTGTGGATTTTTAACCCCCTCCCCATCAAATCTGAGATGTTTGAGTGTTCCTGGAGTCACCATCAGGATGTGCTGAAGGTCGGGAATCTCTTGTCTGTGAGTATTCACTGTCAGAGGACTCTGCAGGTTCAAGCAAGTTTTCATAATCACTGTCTTCTGATTCATCAACATTGTCACCAACCGCTCTTTGGGAAGACGGCATGGATGCTCCATTACCAGAATATTTCAATCCTGTGTTTGTGGAAACATAACTGGAAGAACCTACTGCTTGAGGTCGAGGCATAAAGACATTGCTTTCTAGGAGACTGGGGCCCACAGTACTTTCTTGATTGCTTGCATTGAAATCGGAATACGGAGGAGGAGGATCGGAGACATCCGGATCTTCAAGCGTGCAGCCTTCCACAGCAAATCCAGTGTAGGACATTCGTGGAACAAACATAGGTTCCAAGTTATCTGTTGGCATCTGCCTGCTTAAAATTGCTTGCTGCATTCCTACAAAAGCAAAGAACATTGGTGTACTTACTGCTTACTTTGCAATATGCTTTACATAATCTAGGTGTAACACAGCACACCCTGCCCTTAGCTGTTCCCTCTCTTGCTGGCTGGTTACTGTTATTAAGTGCTCATCCTTGGCATTGCTTTCAAACTCCAGCACTGGATATTTTCCTCTCAGCTTCCACTATCCATCTTTCACAATTCTGATTTCTACATTGATGACTACATAAGACACTAACCATCATCTTACATCTTGCTTCTTACTGCATTGTCCTTTGAGCTTCAGAACGAGTATCTTCCCTAAATTTAGCAGGGCCCCCATGACACTCATCAATATTAGCACAACTTCATTATCCCAGTGATCCCATTACAAAACCAAAAGATGGCAGAAAGCAAATGATCTATCCAAGAGCAAGCGTGCTACACTGTTATGGGCACAGTCATCCTGTACAGTTCATTTCCTCCAGTGTAACTCCCCTAAAAGCATAGCTACAGGAAGTGTCCATAACCTGCTGCTCTTTCCACCTCATCCCCTCTTTGTATTTCTCTGTTCCTTCTCACTTCAAAAAGTAGCTCTGCCAGGACTCATTGTGCTGCTTGTCCTGGTTTCAGCTGGCAGTTAATTCTCGTCCTAGTAGCTGCTGCAGTGCTGTGCTTGGGGTTTAGTCTGAGAACAATGCTGGTAACACACCAATGGTTCAGTTGCTCTTCAGTAGTGTTGACCCTAATCAAGCACTTTTCAGTCTCTCATGCTCTGACAGTGAGGGGGAGCACAAGAAGCTGGGAAGGAGCACAGCCAGGATCTAAGCTAGCCAAAGGGGTATTCCATACCACAGCATGCTATGCCCAGCATGTTATGCCCAGGGGGAGTTGGTCAGGGTGGCTGATCACTGCTTGGGGACTAGAATGGGTCAGTGGGTGCTGAGCAACTGTATTGTGCATCACTTGTGATTTAGGTTATAAGTGTTCATTTTTCCCTTGTTTTTTGTTCCCTATTATTAACAATATTATTATTTCTATTGTTATTATGTTTTACTTTATTTCAATTATGAAACTGTTAAATTTCAATTATTAAACTCTTAAAACACACAGGTTTTACCTTCTTCCAATTCTCCTCCTCATCCCACCAGAGGCATGTCTGTGTGGTACCTATTTGTCAGCTGGGCTTAAACCAGGACCCTGCTCCTCCCCACCTGTCTTACTCAGTACAGAAAGCTTGTTTCACTTTCAATCAGACCATAATCAGCTCCTGCTGCTGATGTTACACCTTGTAAATCACACTGTGTACTTTCTCTTACAATGCCCCTTGTGCTCTCATGAGCACCAGCAAAGAAGTTCCTTGTCATCTCCCCTCAAACCAGTGTATTA